TTTATCATCTTATTCCGTTTCCCGTATTAGCTTTCTTGTATTTTCTTTTATTACCCGTTCATCCTTCTTTTTTTCCTTATCTTTTATTATTATATTATTATTATTATTATTATTATTATTATTATTATTATTATTATCATTATCATTACTATTATCATTATCGTTATTAATATTACTATTATCATTATTTACGGCAAACGGAACTAAAGTCGAATAAAATAAATAAATAAATGAAAATAAAGAAATAACAAAAGCCAACGCTTCTCAACCTAAACATTTTCTTTTTCTTTTTTCTTCTTCACCGCAATCATCATCCTTAAAAACTATTCTATCATCGGTTTCTAATCATCTAATAAAAAGAAAGAAAGCAAGAGAGAAAGAAAGAAAGAAAGAAAGAGAGAAAGAGAGAAAAAAGAAAGAAAGAAAGAAAGAAAAAAGCAACTCCGAGACACATGAAAAGAAACAAGTAATAATTCCGTTAATAATTACGATCTAAAGAATATTCATAACACCGCGAACACGCTCATTAGCATTCCACTTGTCAACACGGACAATTAAAGGTAAATTGATCATAATTAGCTCCTCAGGTATGATTCACGGTTTCGTAAGTAATTCTGGTGTAATTAGGAGAGGTTTAAAAAGTCGGAATTTGATGGTGTAATAACGGTCACAATAGAAGAGGAAATGGGACAGAATACGGATATAGAGGGAGAGGGAGAGAGAGAGAGAGAGAGAGAGAGAGAGAGAGAGAGAGAGAGAGAGAGAAGAGAGAGAGAGAGGAGAGAGAGAGAGAGAGAGAGAGAGAGAGAGAGAGAGAGAGAGAGAGAGAGAGGGGGAGGGAGGGAGGGAGGAGAGGGAGGGGAGAGGGAGGGAGAGGAGAGAGAGAGAGAGAGAGAGAGAGAGAGAGAGAGAGAGAGAGAGAGAGAGAGAGAGAGGAGAGAGAGAGAGAGAGAGAGAGAGAAAGAGAGAGAGAGAGAGAGAGAGAGAGGGAGAGAGAGAGAGAGAGAGAGAGGAAGGTTACGAGAGAAAAAGGAGGAAGAGAAAGTGGAGAGAAGGGAGACGGAAAAAAAACGAATCATTTCGGTATTTGATGTGATTGGGTAATTGGTAATGAATGTCCGCGGTCGATGCGTATGCATGAACGGATATTCGAAGAAATTATGTCGCTGTACATTCTCTCTCTCTCTCTCTCTCTCTCTCTCTCTCCTCTCTCTTCTCTCTCTCTCTCTTCTCTCTTTCTACACACACACACACACACACACACACACACACACACACACACACACACACACACACACACACACAGCTCACACGTGAATGTTAAGCCAATAAAATAAACATAAATTCTCCTGCAGACATTAACTCTGAAAAGCAAGTAATTAAACAGCAATTCACATCAATAAACAACAAAAGAAACAAGCCGAAATAAAAGCTCGTAATCCCAACCGACAAAAAATCGAACAAAACGCTGTAAATAACAATAAAAGAAAGAAAAATATGGCGACCAAAAAGAGCGGGGGAAAATGGCGCGAAAAAAACGTTTTAAAAAATGGCGCCAAATCCATCTCGTCATAACGAACACCGGATCGTAAAACGCGGGAACAAAAGAAATGCGCCAAAAATAAACTCACACAAAACAGCAATAACCCAGAGGGAGGGAAGGGAGGAGGGGGAGAAAGGGGAAGGGGAGAGCAGGGAGGAGAAAAGAGGAGGAGGGGGAGGGCGTGATGGAGGAAATAACCACGATCGTAACAAACAGACAAACAATGGAGGTCATTTGTTGAAAGAACATGTGCTCTTAAGTGCGTAGTGTGTAGTGTGTGTGTGTGTGTGTGTGTGTTGTGTGTGTGTGTGTGTGGTGTGTGTTGTGTGTGTGTGTGTGTGTGTGTGTGTGTGTGTGTGTGTGTGTGTGTGTGTGTGTGTGTGTGTGAGTGAAGAGAGAGAGAGAGAGAGAGAGAGAGAGAGAGAGAGAGAGAGAGAGAGAGAGAGAGAGAGAGAGAAGAGAGAGAGAGAGAGAGAGGAAGAGAGAGAGAGAGGGACTGAGACGGACAGGGAGAGAGAGAGAGAAAGAAGAAAGAGAGAACACACAGACTGAGACAGACAGACAGACAGAGAGAGAGAAGAGAGAGAGAGAGAGAGAGAGAGAGAGAGAGAGAGAGAGAGAGAAGAGAGAGAGAGAGAGAGAGAGAAGAGAGAGAGGAGAGAGAGAGAGAGAGAGAGAGAGAGAGAGAAGAGAGAAAGAGAAAGAAAGATAGATAGAGAGAGAAACACACAGACAGCCAGACAAAGAAAGAAAGAAAGAAAGAGACGCACAAACACGAGCATCTACGAGAGAGAACGCACGCACGGGCGATCCCTCCCTCTCCTTCTCTTCTCTGTTTTCGCCTTCCTTCCTTTGCTCTTTTTTCATCACTCTCTTTCATTTTCGCGTCCTTATTTTCACGTGCTTCGGCCTTTTCATTCTCTTTTTCAAACCTCCTTCCTTTGCTCCTTTGACTTTTCTTTTCGCTTTCTTACGGCTTCTTTCACTTTTCATTCTCTCTCCTCTTCGTCTTCCTTTCACTCCTTTCACTTTCCTTTCCTCTCTCTTTTCTTTCAAACCTTCTTCTCTCTCTTTTTTTCACTCTCTTTCACCTTTCTCCTTCTTTTCACTTTCTTTCTTTCACCTTCCTTCCTTTGCTCTTTTCTCTCTCTTTCTTTCGCCTTTCTTACGCTGTCTTTCACTTTCATTTCCTCTCTCTTTCCTTTCGTTTTCCTTCCACTCTCAGCTTTCCATCTAAATTCTCTTTTCAACTCTTTCTTTCGCCTTCCTTCCGTTCCTTTCACTTTCCTTACTTCTCTCTTCTTCACCTTCTTTTCCTCTCTTTCTTTCAACTTCCTTTCCTATCTCTTTCACCTTCCTTCCCTCTCTCTTTTCAGTCTTTTCTTTGACTTTCCTTCCATTCTCCCTTTCCCTTTCTTTCAACTCTCCCTCGCCCTTCTTCTTTCCACCTTTCCTATCCCTCTCGCACCCTTTCCCCTTCTCCTTCCCCTCCTTACCCTTTCTCTTCTTTCCCTCAACCCTTTCCCCCTCCTCCCTTCCTTCCTCTCCTTACTGTTTCGCCCTCCCCTCCATTTCCACTTCTCTTTCCCTCTCCCTTCCCCTCCTCCCTTTCCTTTCTCTTCCTCTTTCCCATCTCCTCCCCTCCTTCTCCTCGCTTCTCTCCCTCACGGCCACGAAAAAAAAAATAATTTTCTTTCTTCGATGGAACACCCGATCCTCCTCCTCTTTTCCTTTTCTTCTATTCTTCTTCTTCGTCTTCTTCCACGAAAAAAACAATGATTTTCTTTCCTCGATGGACACCCGGATCCTCCTCCTCCTCTTCCTTTTCTTTTTCTTTGCTTTCTTCTTCTCCTCCATCAGTCTTTCAGGAATTTTCGGTTTTTTTTCTGAGCCTGTGCTTATGTTTTTTTCCGTTTTTCTCTTTTTCTCCTCTCTGTTTATTGGTTTATTTCATTTTCTTCCTTTAGGAGGGGGGGTTGGTTTGGTGAATGGCGAGAATAATAGCAAGAAGAGTAAAAAAAAAAAAAGAAGAGAGAGAGAGAGAGAGAGAGAGAGAGGAGAGAAGAGAGAGAGAGAGAGAAGAGAGAGAGAGAGAGAGAGGAGGAGAGAAGAGAGAGAGAGAGAGAGAAGGAGAGAGAGAGAGAGAGCGAGAGAGAGAGAGATGAGCGAGAGAAGAGAGAGAGGAGGGAGAGAGAGAGAGAGAGAGAGAGAGAGAGAGAGGAGAGAAGAGAGAAGAGAGCGAGAGGGAGCGAG